TCTAGTGTCGAGTAGCAGAACTAGGAGAGTCAAGATCCTTCCAGAAATTTCGGGACCGATATGTACTCGAACATTCTAGATGTCGCTACAGTAGAAGGTTCCGGAAACTATCTGAGGCCCTTTATAAGGCCGGTATAGACCACGACCGGGGCAGTATTGAATTGGCGATACAAGAGAATACTTCGAAGCGAAATAACGGCGAACTGTGTTTTATTATTAGTGTGATTTTTGATTGTAATTAGTGTTGTGTAATTAAAGTGTCAATTTTGGTAATTCAGTCGGCAGTTTTTAATTGTCTCGAACCCGAAGCTCGTAACAATACTAATGCAATTCTGATTAACTATCTTTTAGCTTTTTTGTTATTATATTATATCGCCACATTTCAAACATTTACGTCCAATAGTCTCTAAACATTAAAAATAATACCTGTGACTTACAGACATTAGACAGAACATAGATACCTACGTTCGTAACCGTGAGATGATAAATTACACCTTCTGGCTTCAAATTGCTAAATTGAATTTCGGAGATGTAGTTTCAACAGGACGGCGCATTCTATATATACAGTGAACGAAACAATTGAATTGTTAAAGACATTTGAAATAAGGTTATCTCGTGCCGGGACAATGTGATTTTTTTTAAAAGAAAAATGTATGTACGCTAACCCAAGTATAATTACTGAACTGAAAGACGAGATTCAAACCTTAATTGATGAAATTGAGACGGCACTATTGCAAAATGTCACGACGAATCGTCAAAAGGACCAATGGGTGCCCTCAGTTTTGACTGGGCGGCCATATCGGATATTGTGTTTCATACATAACCTCCATCTCTACACTTCTTATGAAAATAAAAACATCAGTAGTTAATTAACACTCCGTTTTATTCTAATTTCAAATTAGGCGGTCATAATAGGACAATCGCTTTAATCATAAAATAATTATAACTTTTAACAAAAAGTAAAAACCGACTACAAAATGAAAAAAAAAGAAGTTATTTATTTTTTACCCGTAGGTTTCTCCAAATTTATATGGGACCACCCTTAAATTGTAATTTATTTAATAAAATTCAAAGAAAAAGCAAAGAAGAAAGAATCATAAAAATTGAATCACAATCTGCGAAGATATCGCGTACCATACATACAAAAAAATACACACACTCGAAATAAGAACCTCCCTCCTCTTTGAAGTCGGTTAAAATATTGACTAATGTCGAGCGTGAGCAAAAATATAGTAAAACAGCAAACATAATTATTATTTACTGTATTCCGCTCTTGTCAGTTTTGCTATCTTTGTGTAACTAAACTGTCGAATCAATATTATCTTTTTCCGAAATTAAGTTTTATTATATCTCAAGTCATTAAAATGGTCCAGCCAGGTACTATAAGTCCATTTTAATATATGATACAATAATACTCTTGCTAGTATGTCACTAAAAGCATTATGCAACATAACGCAGATATAGTGCCACACGCGCGTACTGCACTGATGCAGCAAGCACCGTTCACGCGCGCGCTGCGTGTGAACACCATGTCGGAGCGAACTGATTTATTTTCATGTTCGCTGTGTGAGCTCAGTAAAATGGCATATCATACTGTATCGTTGGCTACACTGTCGAATTAGGGTACTCACCCTGTAATGATTGTGTATGTTGTATGTGTGTGTAAATAAATAAAAATAAATAAATAAAAACAATTCCAATAGGTGACTCTACAAACGTAATGAAAAAGTAGGTACTCAAATAAAATCTATTTTTGCGTTTCTCGCGATATTTAATTGCCTCTGATGTGGCCCTAGTTGAGGGACCCTTGAGATGAGAGACCACCATTGTGTAAGTAAAATTACTTATCAATCTGTAAAACCCAAAAAGGAAAGGTATATGTTATTATAACGTCATCGAGGAGGTCTTTATTAAACGTTTTTATGCATAATTACCGATTTTTCGGTAAAGGCTGAACCTATTTAAACGATTATTTTTATTAAATAGGCTATAATTTTAGGGGTGATCCCATAAAAATTTTAAGAAAAATAAGTCCTCTTACAGGTGGGGAAAAATAGAATTTTATAGAACATGATCGGACCGGAAGGAAGTTGGCGTAGATTATTATTTTGCTCCTTTAGAATTCGTAATTGCTCTACGTCTATTCCTATTAGTTAAATTATAATAAATTAAAAAAAAAACAATTTTCGAAAATTTTATTTTGCTATAAAAAATAACATATTATCTACTTTTTTAAATTAAACTGTATGCCTATTAATTGCTCCTTAAATGCTCTCTTAGAATCCGTAATTTTTCCACGTCTGTTACGGTTAGTTAATTTATAATTAATTCTGAGAAAGAGTGATCCCATTTGAGTAATAGCGCCATCAATAGAATGTAGTAACATTCTATAAGAAAAGTCATTTTATCGAACAAAAATCGATTGACTCTCAAGGTGGTACATAGAGTAGATGCTAATTGGCATAAACCCAAAAAAAATTGTTTAAACGGTAAGTTTTAAAATTATGGATTGTTATGAATGGATTGGACAAACATGATGATAATTATTATTTATGATATTTTAGATTTCGTTATTTTATGTTTTATACCAAAATCAAATATTCTAAAATTGATTTTTTTTAATTAATTATAAATTAACTAATATTATTAGACGTGTGATTATAAGACAACACTTAAAGAGAAATTAATTGGCCATTGGGTTATATGTACTACGTACTAGAGAAGCCATTCCGAACATTGACTATGTTCAACTGAACTGTAGTGCAATCCATACAAACTAAATTTTGCGTAAATTGAAGATTTGTGAATTCCATAAAATAATTATTATAACATTTTATTTAGAAATATGTTTGTTTAGATTAAATTAAGATATTTTATATTAAATCCTTATATTAATTTTATATTAATATCTTATTTTATATCAAAGTCTTCGCGCAACACATACACAAAGTAGGACACAATTTTTATTTGGAATGGCTTCTCTAGTACATAGTACATATAACTCAATGTAATTGGCAGAAATATTTTATGTTTTATAGCACAATAAAATTTTCAATTTTTTTTTAAATTAATTATGAAGTAACTAATAGCAATAGACTTGGAGCAATTACGGGTTCTAAGGGAACATTTAAGGAGCAGTTAATTGGCATACAGTTTAATTTTAAGAAGTTGATATTTTATGTTTTATAGCAAAATTAAATGTTCGAAAGTAAAAGTTTGAAAAAATTTATTATAAATTAACTAATAGCAATAGACGTGGAGCAATTAAAAGAAGATGTTTGAAGATGTTTTCAAGCTTGTGGACTGGAAAGGATAGGGTATTAACATCAATGGCGGGTACATCACTCACCTTCGATTTGCCGACGATATAGTTCTTATGGCAGAATCGCTGGAGGACCTAAGCAATATCTCAATGACCTCAATAGTGTTTCCCAACGGATAGGTCTTAAGATGAACATGGACAAAACAAAGATCATGTTTTATGTCCATGTCACACCTATGCCGGTAGTTGTTGGGAGCACTAAGCTCGAAGTTGTTGACGAGTATGTTTACCTGGGACAAATATCCGACTAGGTAAGTCCAACTTCGACCGAGAGGTGAATCGACCGATTCAACTTGGTTGGGCAGAGTTCGGGAAATTACGGCACATCTTCTCGTCAAGTATATCTCAAAACATGAAAATGACACTGTACAACCAGTGCGTGTTGCCAGTGATAGAAAGTGAAAGACTCAAGATGCAGATGCGTTGTCACCCGTGAGGACGAAGATGGAATATCTCTTTGCCAGTAAAAAGGGTCTCCGGTTCTCTACACTCACCATACGAAACACAGCAGCGTTAAGCTGCTATTTTACGCTGGTTTTCTGTGAGATCGTGGTCCTTCCCCGTTGGAGCCAACCCATTCGTGCTACAACTATACACTAATATAGCTGTATCTTGGCTCTACCACGTATAAAAGTAAGTGGACCTGGTAAGATATGCAGGAAGTCGATGGATGCAGGTGGCTCAGGACCGTGCTTTGTGGCATTCGTTGGGGGAGGCCTATGTTCAGCATTGGACTTGTGAAGGGCTGTAATGATGAAAAATGATGATGATTAATTAACACAATTTTAATTTGCACAACATTACCACTCAGCAATATTAGACAAAATTACCCAGATTTTTAATTAGTTTATTGATTTTAAAGATCAGGCTATATATTGACTGTCACATTTTTTTTTAATTTTCACTAAATGATGTCCTAAAATGACCTCTCCCAAAGAATGCCAAAACACACAGGATCGTGCCTCGTGCATTCCTTAGGGGAAGCCACCTGCATCCATTCAATTCCTGCATGTCTTACCAGGTCGTCACTCTATCTAGTGGGGGGCCGCCCTACACTTCGTCTACTGGCACGAGGTTGCCACTTGAGAAACTCTCTTCACCATCGGTCCTCGGTTCTTCGAGCTATATTGACGACTACGTAATTTGTTTTGTCCATGTTCATCTTAAGACTTATCCCTTGGGAGGCACTATTGGGGTCATTGAGCATAGTGCTTAGGTGCTTCAGCGATTGTGCCATAAGGCCTATACCGTGGGTAAATCGAAGGTGAGTGATGTACTCACCGTTGATGTTAATACCATATCCTTTCCAGTCCAGTAGTCTTCCAAGCAGCGGTAAAGAGTTTTGGAGATATAACGTCACCGAACCGTCATCAACGAAAGAAGCGCTTTGTGCCAAACCCGATCGAAGGCCTTCGCAATGTCCAAACTAACGGCCAATGCCTTCCCCTTGGACTCTACTGCCTCCGCCCATCTATAAGTCAAGTAGACCAGAAGATCACCAGCTGATCCCCTGAATAATGAATAAAATAGTCGGCCGCTTCATGATGTAGTCAATTTAACATTATTGTCAGACAATGACATCAAAATCAGATTTTTCTTATTTTGTAAAATTTAATCTATTTTAATATTTAGGATCCCTCCGACCTGCCACTGACTCATTTCTTTTTAATTTTCGCAGCAGGTACAAAACAAAGTTTCTTTCCCGCGCGAACCGAAAGTTTCAGTGGAGTGCCGCAAATTGATCACGAAAATCCTATCACCGCTGAAATTACGCGTCAAGATCCCACAGATACTCGCCGATCCCTGGCTAAACCCGAACCAATCCGCCAAAGATGACGACAGCGAAACCGCACAGGTAATTAGAGTCCATTCTTTAAGTCATCAGGAGCCGGAGTTGATCAAGGTCTGGGGATAAGCGCTCGTATTTATATTTAATTTTTTTTCCAGTTTTATATCCGTGTAAACCCGAGTTCGATCCCCGCCAACACTACTAAAATTGTTTAGGTACTTATTACAATTCTAGGTGTTCAATTAACCCATGTTTGGTAGTGAAAGAGAACATTGAGGAAACCTGCATATCTAAATAATACCAAAACATTTCCTTAACATGTGCAGTCTTAGTATAAAACATGGTTTATTGATAGTCTCGGATTTAAGAAGAGTTTCAGAAGGGCATTTCCTATAGTCCCTTAGCAGCGACGCAAAGCCACAGTCTTTGCGCCTAAATTTATAAAAAATTTTTTTGTTTATTTTTACCCACAATTTTTTTTAAATTATAAATTATTTAAAAAATGTATATATATAATATATACATATTAATAGTTATTTATTTTATAAATTTCTATACTTAATATAAATTCTAAACTTTATATTTTAGCTCGCATATTATCCACGGGGCGTCTTTATTGAAACATACTCTAGCATAAACCTGAGACTACTCTTAAAGTCTGCCAACATGCATTGTGGCAGTGACTCTTCATTGTCCTAAACACTATCAGGGATGATAAAGCATGTGCCCAGCAATGGACCGTTGTAAAGGCTTTTTATTTAATTTTATAAATGGAGCCCATGTAGCAGCTATATTATAGTTGTAGCACGAATGGGTCGGCTCGACCGAGGAAAGGACCACCTCTCACAGAATACCAGCTTAAAATAGGAGATTCTATCGTGTTTCGTATGGTGAGTGTAGGGAATAGGTGACCCTTTTTATTGGAAACGAGACATTCCATTTTAATCCTTAGGGGTGTCATTGTCACCCTTAATCTATAAAAAAAAATTAATGATTTTATATTATTTACCTTTAGACCGTCTTTGTCCAAGGCGACAATTTCATAGATGATAATAAGATCTAAGGAAAATTCCTATTGCATTAGAAAAACAAGGATACGTGTACATTCTCGAAAACCAATACTTTGTGTTATCGCACAAATAATATTGTCTTAGATTATGATTTCGGACTCTCAAAGTTGTATTTTAGAATAAGAGATCTTTTTTTTATTTTTTAATAATTTACTTATTTAAACTCTTTGCACAAAAATGTACAAAGGCGGACTTACGCCTTTTTTCTTGTATTTTAGAAGAAGATACCTTTTCGACATTTGATCTTAGGATCCGCGACTCACGGCACAGCAGTAGCACCAGTTTTTTTCTGACTATACGTACCTACGCAGTCGCACGCAAAACAAACTGGAAGATGTTCTGCATTCGCCAACAGGTATCAGAGTGCAACATTGATGACAGGTGGCAATATCATGACGCAAAGCGCCGTATCGTTATATACTTATACAGATAATATGTTGTATTCCTTTCCTCCTCCTTCTCTCCTAAAAGCGTACTAACATAAAAAATCCACGTTTGCGTGGACACAAATCCATATAAGTCCAATACTATTTAAGATAATGAATAACTACGAAAGCCTGTGCTTGGCTCCTCTGGTTGTTCAGACAGTTATACATAAAACAACCAGAGGAGCCTTGGTTGTTTTATGAATAACTGCAGTTTAACATATATCTCCGTGTGTTTACCCTTGCAAACTAAAATGGATTGATTAACTTCCTAAACATTGTTTTTATTATTTTTCAGGAACCTGCTCATTCTAGTAAAGACGAGATAAAAAGTGTAAATATCGGCACAGTTACTTACGACAGACATTTAGAAGAAGTAAAATAATTATTTGAGGACAAAATTTGAAACTATTACAAACAGATAAAGGAAAGCAATAAATGATAATTCAGTGCATATTTCTTTTATTTAAGCTGGACAAAAGATGACATGTTATTTCAGCTTTTTTCCATTTCCGTTTATTCTATCATACGATGGCAAATTCGCAATACAAGTTCAGTTGTGTTCACTTAGTGCTTCATTCACTGAAGTTTTTGCATTTTAAATCAGGCCAGAAAACAAAAATTTCAAACAGTTATAAAGACATTAATATATAATTTAAATGTCCATGCGAGTTTTGTAATTTTACCTATAATATTATTATAACTGAACTATGCCTTGAATTTAGTACCTCAGAGAAAGTACCACATCGGGCATTGAATAAGCATCAATGGAAATACCTCGGTAACTTTATTGTATATCCTGTGATAAGTAATGTCATCCGAAGACGTACAGATTTAATAACTATGCATTTAATCTTATGTATTGTCCAACTAAGCCATTGTGTGATCAATACTCGACAAATACTTATGTGGCAACTTGCAATGTGTGCATGTGTAGAGATATATCGTGATATTATCGTATTGAGTATGTGATATTTTCATATTGAGTCGTAGCGTAGCGTAAAATTCTTAAAATTCTTTTCCCACTGTCGCCGAATCATTGCTTAAGAAAATGTAAAGGATTGTTCAAATACTTTTAAATTCCATAGAGTATTGCCAAAAGATATCGTTCAATATTTTAAAACTTTGGAGGTTAAGAAAATCGTAGACTTATGGGGGATTTCCGTTGTTATTACTTCTAAAACAGATACATTAGCACCTTATCTAGCCACTATTTTAATATAAGCGTCAAATCTGGTGTGTTTCCTGATTTAATGAAACAGTAATGTCATACCTTTATTTAAATCTGGTTGTACCCCGAATATTATAGACCAATTTCTGTATTACCAACATTTAGTAATTTTTTTGAAAAAATCGTTTCAGATCAGATGGTAAGTTTTTATAATATAAATAAATGCTTCATAAAAATCAATTTATTTGACATCAATTTTCACAACTGAAGCCGGTGTTGAGCTTATTAAACATATTTCTTCTGCATGGCAGAATTCAGAAGATGCTTTGGGTATATTTTATAACCTTTCCAAGGCTTTCAACTGTGTGCACCATGAGACATAAATCAGGAAGCTACAGTACTATGGTGTCAAGGACACAGCACTTAAACTTATTATTTCATATTTAAGTAATAGAACGCAAAAAGTTACTATCAATGGTAAAAGTTTTTTCGGGTCACCTGTACCAATGGGTGTTCCTCAAGGCTCAATCTTGGCCCATTCCTATTTCTAGTTTATATTCCTTTGTAGGGATAATCATGATATGGAATTATTTCCTGATGATACTTCCTTGATTTTTAAACTCAAACGTCAATCATTTAAATGTGACGAAGTGAATAATGCTATATCAAAATTAGTGTATTGGTTTAAAGTTACGAATCTACATTTAAACGGCAATAAAACTAAATTAATGGAGTTAACAACACCAAATGTTAAAAACCTGAATACCAATTGTTTTCTTTTTAAAAGAGAAAGAACTGGGCCGTGTTCAATCTCCATTTTTCTTGGCAGCACTCTCAATGCTAGGCTTCAGTGGAACGCCCATATATCCAAACTAGCAAGCAGACTAAGCTCTTCAGCTTATGCTGAATAAAAGATTAGAGGTCCCACTAGTATCGAGATAGCTTGATTAGTTTATTTCAGTTATTTTAATAGTATAATGTCTTATCGGATTTTGCTATGGCGAAATACGGCTGCTTTAGAAACTATATTGTTTTGCAGAGAGAGTAAGTATCTCAGAGAAAATTTTAAAGAAATATTTATTTACTTAATTACTACTTACGAAAATTTTATGAATATTCACAAAAACAAAAGTAGTTTCAGTAAAAAAAAAGTGATATACACTGTAAAGTAGGAACAAACACAAGCTGGTGATACCATCTGGACTCCACAGATACAGTAGTTCATCGTTCGAGACCCGCTAATATGTCGTTATCAGGTTATATTATTTGGTTAATTGGAAATTTTCTGTTAATGGCAAAATATTTGAAAAGAATTGAATACGCAAGTAGGTACGTTAATTTTTAAGTAAAATTTATAACTAGCGACCCGCTCCTGATTCGCCTGGGTGGGATCTATTAACGTGGTGTTATTTAGATTTAAGGCTTGGTGTTCCTGTTTTTGTCCGTTCTAAAATTGGTTTTTGATAACCAAACTATTACATTAAGAATCTGGAAAAAAATATATTTCAGATACATTCTTAGTAGTGTAGTTGTACCACTTCTAGACCACCTGAGTCAGACGTGGTTCAACGACGTTCGTCGACACACGATCCTAAAAAAAAAAAAGGAGATGTGTAGATCAATTAGCTAATATCTAATTGATATCCGGTAAGGGCCTCCACCGTCATTAGCGTCCCATTGTTCCTATTTCTATTGTTCTATTGTTCATTAATCACCTTCATTGCAGCGGGTGTGTCGACTATATCAGTGCTATTGTATTATATTTCTTTGTTCCTAATTATACAACGCTAATCTGAATCATCAATAAAACACATTACATAATTTTGTTACAATTTTTATTTATAAAATACAAAATCTTATTACTTATTATCTATAAAATAGGAGCGAAACATCTCATCCACTAAAATATCGTTGTACAATGTGTTCCTTGTAAATATACTCGTAAAACTATGTATTGAACATCCTTGAAACTTATATAGCAAATACATTAAGCAATATTCGCCACAAACTGAAGTCCACTCATTCTGAATCCTATCAACATTCCAGTTCCATCTTTTACAATTCCTTTTTAAAAACTCTAGATGATATCGTACAGGTGATCGTCCATATGAATCAAAATATTGACCGACGTCATTCGTATCGATATATAAAGCTACCCAATGTGACCCTGGTTTATCATCTGTATCCAAATTGCATATTATATACGTTGGTACGTGGGTATACATAGGCAGTCTATTAGCTGCATAAACATTATTTTCTAGACTGGGGTGAATCTTTTTCAGATGTTGTTGTACATCTAGTGTATCCATGATATTACTGCTATTAGTAGATTATTACAGTACCAATCTACTCAATGAATAATATAGGAATGGTCAATTATAGTGATTTCTAAATATTAAATTGCATTTTTGTGTTATACAAATCGTACTTGAGTCATTGATCACCAAACAAAACACAATACGAAGATATGTTGAGATAGGCAACGGAAATGTGAGATAAACTGATATGTTTCTAAATATTAAATTGCATTTTTGTGTTATACAAATCGTACTTGAGTCATTGATCACCAAACAAAACACAATACGAAGAAATGTTGAGATAGACAACGGAAATGTGAGATAAACTGGTTGACGCATAAAGTAATTATCAACTCATTACGGAAATACTTTAGATTAGAATTTTTACGTACTGGTGGTATATAAGACCAACAGACGCAGTCATCGAGTTAGTGTACGGTCGTTTGACTACAGTGGATCTATCAATAGTACATTTGTGTTACTTCAATACACCAAAGGCTATGGATGTAAGTGTTTATTCTATTGACTAAATTACTTTTTTTCTGTTATTTTCATGTGTGTGTATTATTTTATTTAAATATTGTGTATGTATATGATTAAGCCGTGGTAACTCAGATGGTTAGCGCTAGCTGTAAATTTCACAGTACGCGACCCGGGTTCGATCCCCGCCAGCACCAATTAAATTGTTAATCGCAATTTTAAGTGCTTATTACCACGTGCTTGGTGGTGAAGGAAAACATCGTGAGGAAACCTGCATGTCTGAGAAAATTTCGAAGGCATGTGAAGTTCGCCAACACACATTGAGGGAGCGCGGCGGACATTTCCTTGCTCTAAAACCCTCTCAGAAATGAGAGGAGGCCTATGTTCAGCAGTGGACTTTAATAGGCTGTAACTTTAACTTTTTTAACTTTTATGATTAAGTGTTAACAAATTGATATTAACATGATAACTGTGTTGTTGCAGAAATCATTGAGCTTCGATGAAGATACCTATAAACAGTATTACTACTCGCCACTCTCCCCTCAAGAAGAGAGTGATAACCTCGTCATTAATAATAACACATGCGATGGTGGAAAAAGAAAATCGCAATCGATTGATCATTTTTTGAAGCTGAATCAAAAATAAAAAAGAGGAAGGGAAAACTTCAGTGAAGTGTGCACCAGTGCTTTTTTCTCCACAATCATGGAAGAGAATACGGAACTATTCAATAGCGAATTAAATCAGGAGTTGTCTAAAGTTTGTGAAGAAATGGAGAGGGGTCAACTGTTCGATTCGTCATACGATGATGAGTTGTATCATCACTGTGCGATGGTTGAAACACAGTTTAAGTATGTAAAATAAACATTCATTTCGATCATAATTTACATATTGTCTTATACAGTTTTTAATAAATTTAAACATTTTAGCAGTCAACCACTACAACTTGGAAGAGGAACGAAGCGAACGTGCAGCAAAGAATCCAAGATCATCAAAAAACCAACAACGGAAGCAGAAGCGCATACCTCTGCAGGGAACAGTATCAGTAACGATGATCAAGTGGAATGTCCAACGTGCCATATATTTATCAAGAAACGGTATTTAGCTAATCATTTTAAAAGTAATGTTCATAAAAATAATCTTTTAAATTCACATAATTCTTTATCAAACGTTAGTGTTATTGAATCTGCTTTTGGAAATAGGATTTTAACTTATAAAATCAAGAGTAGAGTAGATCGTTCGACATGATATTTTATTTTTATTACAAGAGTGTATTCATCAACACATAATTTTTAAGGTAAACTTCATATTGCATGCTGATTTTGTTCAACAAACTAAAGATATTCATGATACGTTCGATTTTCAAACGCTTAACTATATTATTTGTCAAGGAGATGACTTAAATATTTTTCTTTCATCTTTAAATGATACAATTACTAC